TATGTCTGACTTTTTGGGCAGCATTTTATTATTAAAATTACATTTTTTAATAATAAATGCTGCATCTAACTTCAGGGTGGCATTTTTTATTTCAAATCCAATAAATCGGATATGAATCCAAATCTGAATCTGTCAGATTGAATCAAATCTAAATCTTAATCTGATCTGGATCTGACAGATTAAATTAAATCAAAATCCAGATCTGAATCTGATTCGAATCTGATAAATCTGATTCATCAGAACCAGATCGAATTCAGATTGAATCGAATTTTTTGAAAACACTAATTGCAACTTCAATTTTACTAAGAAAACTTAGTAATAACCGATATTATACCTTAGTTTTACTAAGAAAACTTATTAATAACTACTATTGCATCTTTAGTTTTATTAAGAAACTTAGTAATAACCGTCATTGCTAAAGATGAGCACCATAATTAAGAAGTTACAACTTGGTTACAACTCCTTGTAAATTTATTTTAATATAAAAATTCATAAAATGTTGCAACTCAAAGTGTTGTAACTTAAGTTGCAACTAGTTAAAATTTTAAAAATAATTATGTAAACCATCTTTAGCTATTGCACTTCAGATTTATTAAGAAAACTTAGTAATAATCGATATTACAACTTTAATTTTACTAAGAAAACTTAGTAATAACTGCTATCACGTTTTAGGTTTGTTAAGAAGACTTAGTAATAATCACTATTGTAACTTTAAAACTATTTTATTAATAAAAATATTTCTGAAGTTACAGATGCATTTTTTACTAGGTTTCTTAGTAAAAAATGTCACTGAAGCTGCGTAGGCATTTTTAGCTTTAGTTACTTAGTAAAATAATGTCTTCAAAATTATAAAAATATTTTTGCTATATTTTTCTTAGTAAAGTAACATCTTTGAATTTGTGGAGGCATTTTCTACTATATTTTCATAGTATAATATGCATTTTTAAAGCTGTGAAGACACTTTTTACTATAGTTTTCTTAGTAAATACCATCTCTGAAGCTTTAGAGATAATTTTACTATTAATTCAAATCAAATTAAATATTTGAATATTTGATTTGAATTTGATCAAATTGAATCAAATATAAATTTGTATTAGTATTGGATTTGATTTTCAAATCATATGTTCAAATATCAAATTGAATTGCAGTATGTAATAGCTGCAGAAATCTTAATTCAAATTTATTACTAATTTTCAATTTATTTAGTTTTTGCTAAAACCATTAATAAGGCATTAAGATCAAATATTACTATTCTAGTATTCTTATAAATAATAATAAACTGCTTTAGCTAGTAAATCAGAAGTATATACTAAAAATATTATATATAAAGAAATTCTTTAATTTAAAATTTATATATATTTTATTTGTAATTATAATATTTATTTAAATTGATTTTGTATATACATTATAAATAAGTAATATATGAATTTGTTAGAAATTTGTCACTTTGTGGCAAAATCTTAATCATTTCATACATTCTTATTGTAAACTGTTAAATTAAGTAGTTGAATTTAATCAACAACTGCCGAGTTAGAGTTAGGATTAGGGATTGGGGATTAGGATTAAGATTAGGATTAGTGATTAGAGATAGGTTTAGGTTAGTTTTAGATTATTTTTCAACGAGTTTGGGTTAGGACATTTGTAAATTTATATAAATTACGAGTTAATCAACTAATCAACACATTAATATTAATTTTAACGTTAATCTTTTCATATTTATTTTTTTATATGTTTTTAACATCTAATATACGTCCCCCCGGGTTAGAATTGCTAGTTTATAGTATATTGATGACGTGTAAAAATTAAAAATTTACGAAAACATTACATGTTTAAGAAACAGTTTTTTTTAAAAAAGTCAATTTGTTTCGATTTTCGCTATTATTCACTTTACTAATATAATCTAACAAATTCAGTATCTTAATACTACGATTCTATTGATCAGGGTCAAGCGAGTACTTTTAACTATTTCTTTTATTGGAAAAATTCGTTAGGTAATTTTCCTTAAATAATTAGTATTTTTTTGGAACCTGGAGGTTTATTCTTTCGATCACTGCCTTTTGAGTAACCCGGCATTTTTTTACTCTTATTAATGGACTTTGAATGGTATTTAACAATCCATTAACAATGAAGTTTTACTTTTTGACTACGCGAATTTTATATATATTTCAAACAAAGCATTTTTTATTTATAAATAAAAATAAATGAAAGGTCAACACGCACAATTTTTACAAAATTTTTTATACAAAACTAATTAAAAAAAGAAATATATTATATTAATTAGAATAAAAAAGACTTTACAGGTTTTATTTAGAAAATTCGATTTTGTCCTTGATTTGGAAAGGTAAAAATTTATAATTAAAGAATTGTATATGGTTAAAAAAATATATAAATAAGCAAAGATGTAATATATAAAACGAATAAGGAAAATACATGTATTTATATTTAATATTTAGCCGGTTCAACTCGTGTCCACCATGGATTTTTATATTTGTCAGGGCATGGGCGAATTGTGATATCCTTTCCGTCTAAAAAAGATTCATAAATGCCTTTAGGAGTGGGAAAAAAGAAAAATCACCAATATGGAAAAATTTAAAAGATACTACTACTTACACCAATCAAACCGAGGGTCTTTCTTTGAATGAGAAATTTTCTTGGGTTTTCTCGCACCAATCTTTTTTGCACCATCCATTTCAATGAAATAGAAGCATTTTTTAAAAGAAGGCTTGAATTTTTTACTTTCAAGGCAACTAGCAACGAAAGGAGATACGATGATCTCATCATCCGTTTGGAAAGAAGTATCAAAATTTTCATCACTATAAACAATATTTTCTTCATTTTTGTCGAAATCATTTATTAAATCATTGTCAACCAGATCACATGATATGCATTCGTCTACTTTGAAACAATCATAATGTTAAGTTTCAAATCAAAGAATAAATAGATTCTTTTTAAAAAATAAAATACCTTGTTGATCAGCTTTTAAATAAAATTCATTATGCTCCGAGACCTTATAACCGGCAACGTCATCATGGATCTCATACTTATATACAATTTTAATCATGTCATTACATTTTGTCTAAAAAAAGGGGGGGATCATGATTTAGTAATTTGAAAATGATGATAACGGTAGCAATCAAATGTTTAATATAATTACAAAGTGACAAAACATCATCGAATTCCAACATGATGATCTTATATACAATTCTACTAAAGAGTAAATGGTTGAACAAATCATAAATGCTATAGTGGTACCAGCCATAGTTTTAGTATATCTATTCAAATTTACTTTTAATTTTTTTCAGTCATAAGAAAAAGGATCAAATTTTAAGATGTGAATTTAAAATTAAGAAAATTTGTTTCTTATTTATAGATATGGAAATATAAAGTTCATGACCTTTTTCTTACAGCATTTCTGACGAATGAAAACAATTTAATGCTGGCTTTTTTTTTTCTTGCAGATCGTCATATGATAATATGTTCTTTTTAGATTGGATTTACATAATTTTGATCCGCAGTAATTGTTAATCCATTTATATTCTTGTCTATAAACAAGAGAATATTTTGGGGTTATCAATAGAAACAATGAACGTTTTAAGGGTCCATTCCAAAATGGAAATAAAATCGACATTATTATTTGATAACCAATGAGAATTTTTTAACAATACCACCAAATCAGGAAGAGTTTTGGGCTGATTAATGTTAAACATGTTTGAATCAAGAACTGGTGATAAATTTATGGTAATATTCACACGATCCAAATGAATCAAATCAAATGTTTTTTCAAAAAAGCATATCCATATATTTTTTTAACTTTTATTATCTTAGATCAGGCGAGCTTATAAATTGTTGATTATTGTAATGATATTGTGCAAGAATTTCAGCCAAATATATAATTGACACATTCTAAAAAGGAGGGGAAGTTTTCTTTTTTATTATTTTTTTTTTAGTCGAGATTAATTACTAAGACAAATAATTAATGGCATTATTCAAAATTGTCTAGCTATCCCTACCTCTGGTTTACGTAAGATATTGTAATTAGAGATGGAAGATTGAGAGGATTGAACCCAACTTTTGAAAAAGTTTCGTTAAGATTCGACAAAAAATAAATAAAATAGGATATTTAATATACGAATACTTTCTTGGATAAATACAGTAAATCTAGAATGTGAAATGAATGTTCTTTCTTTAGGCGATGGACAGGTAAGTGCTTAAACCAAAACAAAAGGTCAGGTTCTTCTTTGATTTAATGGTTTTACCATTTTCGATGGAAAACAAGAGTGTTAAGTCGGTCTCTAGAGATATATCCTAATTGATCGAAAGATTTTCACGTAATGATTTTAATTGCCTAGATACAATTTACATAATGGCATTTATTTGTAGGTTCTATCTGGGCCTTAATCTATAATCGGATTTGTCTCTGAGTTGGGTGTTTCATTATTTCTTTAGAAACGTTTAACAACGTAATTGTTGAGTTTATTTGAATATTGTCAAAAATATGAGAGCGATTTAGTATCTTCGATAATGAGGAACCATGCCTGCCATCCCTAAAGGTTTGTCGTCAAAGATGATGTGATCCTCCGAGATGGTCAGTTTGTTAATCAAGTCACTCAAAGCCAAGAGAAAAAAAGTTATGGGAAATCCCTGTAGAGAGACCAGCGAAAGGAAAAAATCTTATAGAATTTGGTTAAGAGTCAGAAAGATCAAAGTCCAGTATTTAGGAAATTTCATAAAAAAAAAGATTGAAAACAATCAGATATCCAAAAAAAAATCGATTTTATGGTTACGAAAAATTCGATCAGAAAAAAGTTTAGAAATTTTAGAAACAAAACGACTGGAAAAGTACAGAATTAGATGGTCTAGATCTATTAAAAAAAAAATTAAAAAAAAAAAATTTGTCGAGTTCATCTACGTTTGGCGTAATGATCGTTCAAAGGGTCTCTAAGAGGAAAAAAAAAGTCAAGGAGAAATTTTAATCGACTAATATTAAAAGGTTCATTTGTTCATTCTAAAAGATCACTATAGTGTAAAATTTTTTTCGTATCATAGAAGTCTTCGGCTAAAGTTATATTAACCCTATAATAATCCATCTTAGCAACATCATTGTAATGTTTCTCAACTATCCAACCTAATTCCGCGCCAAGTTCTTTTTTAAGAAAATTACCAATTTCTTTATTGAATCTTTCTAAAATATCATAACCTACACCACAATAAGGCCTAATATGTTTAATGTATGGAGCCAATTTTTCATATTCATCCCAATAAGTCTCATAATCTTTTGGTACTATGCGATGCAATGAGAATGGAATTGCAATTTCAAAGCATTCCATTGCTTCGTTAATACATTGTATTAAAGCATTTACAAATTCATCTACCTTTTTCGCCGACGCCTTTTGTGCTCTTTGTGACAACGTTAATTTTATTTGTTGAGTATGCAGGAAAATGGGAAGTTGAAAGAAATCGATTTCTGTACAGATTTCCTCTTGAGAATATTTATTATCTTTAGAAGGAGGGAAATGAATTTTCCCTGTACGATAATACTGTAAAATATACCTAAATAATTCACCATCTCTATCTATGAAATATTCATTTTCATTTGTTGGACGTAATAATTCCCGATTCCTGTCTGCAAACATTGTACCTAAATATGTTTCCGGATAAGCTATCAATGTAGAACGAAATGTTTCATATTTTATGCCCCCCACGTTTAATATAATTCTTTCTCGGAAAGCGTCCGCCTTCGTTTCAGTTGACATGATTATTAGAGTTTCAAAGATAATTTTTTTTTTTGATCGATATAATTTTTTCATTGTACAGTACAATAAAAAATATAATTTTGGTTACTCGATTTGCAGATAGTACTGTATATATTTATATATACAGTATTAGGTAATCTGTCTTACGCCGACTGCGCCAATTATTATGAAAGAAATGGTGAAATAATCGCATCCTTTACTTTCTCACCTCCACTACTCTTGTTATCAACAAATGTTTTAGTTCTTGAACGTCTGGGATTGTCACCTTTCGATTGTACTGTATGTAAAAGACCGATAATGTGTTAATGATTTAACGAATATACCGTATGTTGTGTTGGAAAAAAGAAACCATTGTCAATCATCTGCTTCTAAAAACAAGAATGTGCCTAAATCCTAATAAAAAGAAAATGCGCGTGTCACACGAAATGCATTTAATTGAGGGGACAATATATTAATTAATCATAAATTTCTTAAAAGTTGTGCATCGATATCAGGGAGTTGTAAATAAAGAAGGTATTTATTTAATCGATAGAGAGGGTAGTTTGTCGTTAATATATTATAAACACAATTTTGGTAACTATGATCATTACATACAGTACGCGCATGTAGGAAAAAAAAAGATTAAGAGAAAGGGGGATATAAGGGGAAAATATAAATATAAATAAAAATAAAACCCTTTTAATAGGTATAAATATGTTGGCGTCACTGATAATGTTATATTACGTAAATTTTAACCATTTTTAAGCCTTGAAGAAAAATTTCTTTCAACACAAAATTTTCTGATTATTATGACTGCCGAAATTACAAGTGAACTTTTATCAAAATAGTAATACCTTGGAAATAAAATAGATACACAATGGTGACAGATCATATTGATGGTACATTTATTGAATGAAGGAGGTGGTCGGACGTCTCAATAAATATATACGGTATCATTAAAGAAAAAAAAATGAATTTAAAATGTAATATATATTTCATAATATTTTCTTTTTTTCCCCGGTTATCATTTTACCAACAAATTTTTTCAGGGAAATATTCACGAATTAATTCAAGGTAGTAAGGTTTTAATTCTTGAACGTTAGGGGATTGATCACTTTTCGAGTACAAGTCATAAGGATTAAAGATTTTGACACATTTCATCATTTCATGATCGGTTTCATTCATTAAATGCGTATAGGCATTTTCACGATGTTGTGCATAAAATGAGTGATACCTAATTATATAACTGGCTTCTGCCGGTAAATAATTCTATTATTATGAATTATTTTTTTTTAAAAAAATGTTTAGTCGTTTGAGTCATTTATTTCTACTCCATGAACGAAAGAAACGCTAAAGTTAAAATTCTTACTTTTACAACTTGATACATGTATTCGTCGTGACCATAAGACATTAACACGTTATCCAAGCCACAATTCGGTTCGTAAATCCCGTATAATGTGTTATATTTTGGATTGTTATAATCAGGATTGTTCTTGAAAAACTCTGGAAAAATTATCGATGGAGAGAATCTGCATCCAACAGGAAATGTGTCTATGAATGCAAGTCATATGACATAAGTTAAACCATCGCTATTAATTTTATTTTCATGGAAAAGTTGGAACGATGAAAATTACCTCCAACCACATCCCATTGTCCTTCGGCTCCATAGAAAAACAAGAGTTTTCCTAAATCGTGTATCAATCCTTTAAAAAAAAAAAATGGTTCACGTGACTTTACACGGTAGCAATGGGAAAATCATTTAGCATTTGTTTTGGAATTTTACTTACCAGTTAAAATTAACCATCTAGGTTGACCATCCTTCCTTAAAGATTCGGCGGTCTGTAAACAATGTTCGATTTGGGAAAGTTGCGTATCAGGATCCGAGTTGTCAACCAAGGTATTTAATAATTCCAACGCTTCCCAAACGCATAATTTTGCATTATTAAGCAAAGAAAACTTTGATCGTTTTTCAATTACATTAGATACGGTTTGTTTTTCGTGTTGTTCTTTATAAAATTCTATTATTCTTGTCGGAATTTTTGGTGAAGTGTACGCACGAAATGATGAAGCTGATGAATTTGGAGACGAAGTTGGAGAAGAGGAAGAAGAGGAGGTGGGATTATCAATTGACGTTGATGAATAACGAGAAAGCAATAACGTATCAAGTTCTTCACACGTCTCTTCAAATGAAGATTGTGATAAATGAATTTGAGACATTTTTTTTGTTAATATAGGGTTTTTTTTTTTTAAAAAAAATAAAATAAAATAAAATTGATACTTAAGTTCATGGAAAAGTGTTTTAATATTTCATTGCACTAATAAAATAAATAATACTCCTTTCTTAAAATAAAGAGTTTAATTAATTTGGAAATTGATTGTGGTTATTTTATAACGAATTAGATTTTTGCAGAAATGAAGCGTGAGAAAGTCATTGGGCTCAACAAAAATAAAGGAATAACAATTTGTACTCCGTAAAATATAAATAAAAGGTTGCCATTTCCAGACAAAATGGTCTCAGGATCATGTGATACATTAGTATTAAAATAAATAATATAATTCCGTTTCGCGATGTTATAAAAGTTAAGAACATTTCTGAGGCAAGATTGTAAAAGCATGCAACTTTTATTGTTTTTTAAAAACAACAAATCAACTTTAGAAGATTAAGATAATTTAACAATTAATTTGTGTCAACCTGATGCAATTGGTTTTTAATTCATAAATTTCGGAATTGGTAAAAATTATACCGCAAAATAAAGCTAACGATCTAAGATATTTTAGTTTGGAGAGTACTTTTATAATATCCTAAAGGGGAAAAAAAAAATTTAGCAAGAAAATTTTATTTAAATGATGAAATCCCCCAAAAACTTGGTTAAAACTTACCCTATTCATGGAAATAAAAGAAATTGCGACGATTTGTTTAACATCCAAGGTAAACTTTTCAAGGAGATGACAAGTATTGCAAATAGCATTCAATTCTTGCAATTGAATATTTGACATAAATAGGGACAATTCCCTTATTACTATGGCTTCTTTGATACTCCAACCAATAATTCTAGGACAATGTAACGTTAATTGTTCCAAACAATTAAAAGCAGTAATGACTTCATCACCGAAGGATTCAAAGATTCTCAAATATAATTCTCGTAAATTCATAATATTTCTAGCTAAAACTAATAAAGAACGTTGATTGATATTTAATGCTTCAAGATAAAGTGAACGTAAATTAGTCGCAAGATGAGTTGAATTTGCAAGTGCTAATATTCCATTATCATTTAATCTATTACAATTGATCAATTCCAACCTGACTAACGAATCACAATATTCCGACATCATCGTTAAACTTTGATTTGAAATTTCATGACATTGATTAAATCTTAAAAATTTTAATCCTCTAATAGTCTTGAAAACTTGGATTAATCCAATATCAGTTACGGGACAATTACATAAGATTAATTCTTCTAAGCGACCGCAATTCATTTTAATGGCCTCAAGAATCAAGTCTGTTCCACAATTATGATACAATGCGATGGATTTTAATCTGGTCCAAGAATTTAATAAATTTTTTATATTCATATTATCACCTAGAAGAAATCCTTCATTATTACAACCAAGTTTTTCAATATTTGGACAATAATTCGCTACATCATAAGCTACGCTAACATATTTAATATATTTAAGGTTCCATTCACGTACCATTTCATGATATGGTTGAAACGTTTGCTCATCTTTGGCACTCCTTATGGTTTGTAAATATTTTGTTAATGAAGATGAGAATGTTGCCCGACTAGTGAATTTTGGCGCACGATATAAGAATGGTGACGCCGAAATATTCCACTGCGTATTAACTAGCGTACAATTATAAATGTCTCGTTGATTTTTTAAATATCCAAACACTTGAACAAGGATATAATGATGTGATAATGGATGATAAAGATGCATTTTTTTTAACAAAAAGTTTCTTATAAATGCGAACTTTTACAGGGAGAGGAAAGGAAAAAAAAAATTTAATTAATGCATGATTTCATGTGTGGCTGGCTATAACCGTAACCGAATAAAAAACCATTACCAATATTACTTAATCAGATTTCGATGATCTCTTACTATTAGTTCAATACAATGAAATTGTAATACCATTAGTTAAATTGAAATACAATACAAATGGCAAGTTCCTAAAAATTAGAAATTTTAAACGTCTATCACTTCATAGTTTTAATTTTGTGACAGGTTGAATATTGCTCGTCAAAGAACGTTCCGGGAATTAATTTGTCTCAAAATCGGCCAATCTTTATTCCAATATCCTACCTATTCAAAGAGAAATTGTTCGTTTATATTTTCAAAACCGAAACAACGCGAAGGAGAATTTCGCGAAAATAATGAACGCAAATTTTATTCAAGGGAGAGAATTTGCCAATAACAACCTACCGGGAACAGAAATATTGGAAAATACCCGACAGACCAACGAAAAAAAAATATATATACATTTACTGTATGTACACCAACAAAAAAAAATATATACATATACTATGTTCATTGTAAATAATTTTTTGGGTAAAACCCCTTTAGTGCAAAAAAAAATTCTTTTTCTTTATCTTTTAGTCAATCACTTGCCAAATATATAAAATTGGAAATCGGAGTCCGGCTAAAAATAGATCAGTACGCGAAGTTTCTTTGTTTTCTTATTTATAAAATTTTATTTTGAAACGAATTTTCCTCTTTTAAATAAATAAATTATTTCACTTTTTTAAGCCTCTGGCTTATTACGTTATGCATGTTGTTATCTTGTTTTTCTAATAAAAATAAAACCCACGATTGTATTTTCACGTGTAGAAAATTTTTTTCACGCACTAACCCAATTTATAGGGTGTGCCAAAAATAGATATAAATATCCTCTTTTTTTTTCTCTTTCATTTTTCTTTCAGCTTCGATTTCAGCTTTCATAAATTTCATAATTACCCTTCCAATCATGTCGTTAGAAAAGGAACTCATTGGTGATGATTATTGTCGTCGCAAAGTTTTTTTATCTTACAATCCAAATTCAATAACAAAGTCTCAGCATTTTTATGAGTGGGCACTTTCAAACATTCTTCGACCCAACTTGGACCACGTATACTTAGTTTCAGTCATCAATACACCAAAACTATATTACCCCACAAACGATATGTGGGCATTCGGTTTAGGTTATTATCCAAATACTGACTTCAATTCATTGGACGATGAATATCAAAATTATATTAATAATGAGCAAGAACGAGCCAACAATTTATTAAAGGTTATTTCTTGTGAATTAACCCGAAAAAATGTAAGTTTGCTTTGTATCGTTTTGTATCATCGCGCCATCAAAACATTTTTTTCTTGTGTAAATATTAAAACAAAAACGTGATTAACTTTTATAGATTACAAGTAATGTGATTATTGCAAAAGGAGATGTACGCGAAGCATTAGTAAATATTTGTAAATCCGTTAAACCCGATATAATCTTGGTTGCTTCCCCTTCCAAAAAATCAAAAATCCTATTAAAAAGTCCTGTTTTGAACTATGTCAGAAAACACATGAAAGATATTCCTGTGATAACTGATGCCGATGACGACTTGTATCGACGGCATAAAAACAACAAGGTCAATGAGCCGAAAGTGTCAAAGCAAAGTAAGTCTTTTTTTTTTTAAAAAAAAAAAACAATTGGGTAATTGTTGTTGAAGGAGTAAAATAAAATTTTTTTTTTTATAGGAATTTCTCGCGTAATTAAGAAAATAAAGCAACAATTAAGGTCTGGTACCGATATTGAGCCTCTTGTTTCTTCAAACAAAACTTATCATAAACTAAATTAAATTGCACAATTGGCATTATGGTTTAGTGTAAAATTTGTACATAATCAATATTTAATAATATCATGAAATAAAAATAATCTGAACACATTTGCATGTTTTTGGTAATCAAATAATTCAAATAATGAACGAACACATTCAAAAAAGTTTTTTTTTTTTAACTTACACACGATATTTTTGGCGGAATTAGTGAAACACACACCATGTTGATCGTGTTTTTTTATGGGTCAAAAACGATTCTAGAATGTTGTCATGCCACTTTTGGTTATATAAAATTACTAATCCATATATATACTAATCGGAGTTAAATATGCATGCATGTGTGACAGGAAACTCTTCGCTCATTTTTGTGTTAACTCAAAATCTTCTTTATGTTGCTATGTATGTATGTATATGTATATGTATGAATGATCACGTACGTTTATGTATGGTCATCACACCATACATGTTTGTATTGCATTCTTAGTGATGGGACTTTTTAAATTTTTAAATATTAATCTTAATTAATAAGTAATTAATAACGATAAGTACTTATTAATTATATTAATTATTAATAATATAATCAAATATATCTATTTCTCGTATCGTGTCTATTGAAAAATGCCGCCAAAAAACAGGGTAGAAAAAAAAGCCCAATTTGGCTTCACTTTATTGAAGGCCAATTGCTTAATAGCTCTCACCATGAAGCAACATGCAAATATTGCTCTGAGAAAATGCTAATATGTTAAAACATCTTAAAGAAGTGTGTTCTAAAATTGGTGAAAAAATTCGAAATACTCTTTATATTGATAATATGAATAATAATAAAAGAAAAAATAAACGCCCTCGTATTGAAACAAATGAAGGTAATATGTTATTTTTTAATATTATTTCTAACTTATAATAATAAACAAATCAAGCCAAAATAATTATTCTATTCTATTTAATAATACAGAAAAAATGAATCTGAAATTCA